GCCGTAAGGGGCACAGGAGATAGGTCCTGGCCACGTCACTGTGACGGTTTGCAGACATGCATCTCCCAACAAGCACGAAGGTCCACACCCCAGCTCCGGGCACCTAGGAGCCCTGGGGCATCGGCACACAGGGCGAAGAGCCCCTTGCCTCAAGCTGTGCCGGGCCCCAGACAAGTCCTCAGCAAATTAGATCCTAGGAGCAGGGAGAACCCAGCAAGACCCGAGCACCCCAGGCGTAGGAGAGCCATGCCCTGCTGCTCACCAGCACCCCCCAGCTCCTGCACTTCAGTCCCCAGTACAAACAACACAAGACAGACCTGGGCATCTTGGCCATCCAGTCCAGAAGAGTCCTCCTTGGTGGTGCTCTGTAGCTGCTCAGCAGGTTCCCTACTTTCTGTAAAGCAATTAGCAAGTTAACGAGGGCCTGATTGTTTAACCCTACCTTATGCTGGGCTCTGCCTGGAAGAGGTGGCCCAGTGCCTACTTCAGGTCTGGTTCCCCATCACCCGGGGGCCGACGGTGCTACGCGGCTCCCGGCTCAGAGCCCTCCACAGCTGCCATCGCAGCCCACGCCAGCGAGGGTCCCGAGAGGGGCTGCCATGCAGGGGACCATCAGGCTGAGCCCCAGCAGCTTTCCTTCCTGCGCTTGCAATCTGCTGCGCACTGCTGTGTCCACCCCAGAAGCAGCAGGGTTACGAAAGTGATGGGGCAGGTGTGTCCCTTGATGACCAGAAGACCCAGGCTTCATCCAAGGACTATGTCCCGGTCCCAAAGCCTCAAGAGGTGTCAGAGATGTGAAGCACCGGTGTTAATTAAGGTGAAGAGAGCCACCCTCGCTGAACCTGAATAACGGGGAGTGAGGCTCAGGACAGGTCACCCCTGGGCCCATCCAGCGAGAAAGGGTTTGTATTGGGAGGAACCTGCAGTCCTGTCCCCGCTGTTAGTAATGAAGTGTGAGCTATAGCCAGGACATCTGGTGTCTCCTCTCCAGTTCTTCTCCCTCTCTCCGGTTTCCTCCCCAAAGCCCAGCTGACATCCCTGGACTTCAAGGATTTAATGCTTCCCCAAGGGAAGGAGCAGGGTTTAATCCTCCACAAAACCCACCCCCAAACCTCTCACCCTGCCATGCATGCACCCAGATCCCTGCTGCCTGGCAAGGGTGGGGAGGCCAGGAACCCAACCGCACGCAACTGCTGCACCTCTCCTCCCCGTGCCCCCGCCGTGCTCCTCCAGCACGGGGGCCTGATCCTGATGCACTGGTGGTGTCCATCCATGGGCCCCGAGCCAGCTGAGCAGACAGCTGCTGCTGCCGCCACTCCGGGAGCTGCCCTGTGTGTCCCCTATCACTGCAATGCAGGTATCTCTGGAGTGGAGCAGGACAGCTCTCTAGCTGCTCACAGCCACCCATATACACATGGAGAGAGGCCCTGATCCTGGCAGCAATTCCACCACCGTCTGCTTGGTCAGGGGCACGGTAGGATCGGGGCTGGGGAATGTAGGTCGCCTGGCATGCATGGCCGCACTCATACTATTCGGGGGATAATCTCTTTATTAATTTAAATGACACATAAATAAAATATCAAACAAACTGCGCTGTTTGCTTCTACCAGACAAGAGTCCCGCGGTCCCCGGCACAAAGAGCAGTTGATGCAGCTGAAGTGCACGGACGCCCGGCTCGAGCGCTAGGCCGGTTAGGAACCAGCTGAATCAATAGCTTGACATTTACTTGCCGTGCCCAGAGTGCAGCAGCTGGCTTCTTCCAGGCATTGCAAAGAAGCCTCTATACAGCCAACACGTCCACACTGGGGCTGCAGCAGACACCTCTCCCGGGTGGGCCAGGCAGGGAGGGTAAGTGCAAGACCCACACACCCAGGGAAGCTGGGGAGAGTCAGGAACCAGACCCAGGTCTCCTGCAGCCCTCTCTGCTGGCCTGGCCATGCCCGTCTCTGTAGAGAGGCAATAAAGAATTTCAGCTGTAGGCACCACTTCCTGGGCTCTAGGCGCAGGGTTTGGCTTGTGTCTAACTGCCAATTTGGGTCCAGGAAAGGAGCTGAAAGGCCTTGGAGAAGGGAGTGACTGGGTTGATGCTTCTCTGGACATTTTGTGAGAGTCACAGATCACTGCATCCATACTGGGTATTTATATCTTGGTGCCCCTGGCTTCTTGGTGCCCATTTCCTGCGGAGTCAGGGGCAGCACTAATAAACTGCATGGTCCCAGGGCTGCGTGGGCAAATCCTCAGCCCTTTGCTCCCCCAGAGCCAGTCTGGGAGGCCTGGTTTATAAGGCCACACAAGTGGGCAGGGGTGTCGCCAAGCTCCAGCCAGCTCGTGCATGGTGCCAGGCTGACATGCCGCACTCTCGTGCAAGTGGCTGACGTGCACTGGATGGTGTTCTGCACTCAGTAAACAGCATCGTGCTTTGCAAGAGCTGGGGGCTGTGGTGCTGCTCCACCACGGCCCCTCAGACAGATCAGTCCACACAGCAATGCTGGTCTCCCAGGGCCCTGCCAGGGGTCTGGATGCTGATAGCTTGGCGGGAAGGAGGGGAGCAGAGCATCCAGCCAAGAGGGCCGACAGCCCAAGGTAGAGGGGAGCACCTTCATCCTGCCCCTCCCCCCGCCCTTCCTGACATCTTGCAGACCCTTCCCCTCACCTCTGTGCCCTTCCTTGTTTGGGATCTTCTAAAGCAGCTTTGCAAGGAAGGAGCCACAAGGAGCCCCGCAGCAGGCATCTTTGCACCCCTCTGCCCAGCTCTGCCTGTCTGTAAGCAGCAGGGGATTGGGGAGGGGGGGAACAAATCTGCCCTGTTACCCCAGGTGAGCCGGGTGTTCGGAGGTCCATGCTAGATACACCAGCAGCAGCATTTAGAGCCAGACCCAGATGAGAACTGCCAGCAGCGTTGGCATTTGAGACCCCGTCAGACCCACACGCAGGTCCTGGAGGGTCCCAGAGCTCTGCTCAGAGAGGAGAGCCAACGGAGCAGTGACCCTGACCCCGGCCTTGCATGCACTCGGCATCAAGCCAGGCCGGCCAGCTTCTGCAGCCGCTGCATGGTGACTACCACCTCCGCCTCTCCAGACGAGCAGGGACCCCTGGGTAGCTCTTGGCTCTGCCCAGGGCGAAGGGCCAGGCTCAAAGTCGTGCCTCAGAAGATGCAGAAGATTAAACCGCTTGCCTCTAGCACCCTGTCCAGGAGGGAGCATCAGTGGGTGAAGACCTCTGCCCTCCCAGCATGCTGCTACCTGATCGATGGAGCGAGGAAGGGCAGCTTTAGGAGCTAGGCACTGGCATGGGAATCGGTTCATTCAACTGATGCAGTTTCTTCTTCTAAGACAGCCTCGATGTTCCCTTCAGCCCCTACACAGCTTTCCCCGCGGGCCAGAAAGGCCGGCACCAGTAGCCACGAGGAAGTCAGTGCTCCTCATTCCCCAAGCACATCGCTGCGGCTAAGGCCTGGCCCAGCTCCCTGCCCAAATCAGGAGCTGCTCCTGCTCCCCCTCCTGCCCCCTTGTATAGGAGCCAGCCCTACTCCAAAAACCCAGCTCAGACTCAGACAGCAGCTATCCCCCCAAACCTTCCCAGCCAAGGGATGGGATGAACATGAGCGCCTTCAGCTCATCTGGCTGCCTCTTGCGATCTTATGGCTGGGGGCTACAAAACGCCCTCAAATACACCCCCAAAATTACCAGCATTTTCCAGGCACCAAAGCACAGCTAATACCACAGATAACCATTGTGGCCACTGGCCTGCTGGGTGACCAGGGCAAGTTGCTTCCTGTCTCTGTGCCTCAGTTTCCCTTAACTGGTTAGTCGAGCTCCTCTACAATCCCGCCAGCTCCCTGGGGGCACAGGCCAGCTCCCTGGGTAAGGGTGTGGGGTGGCTGGGTGCTACTACCTCACTCCCAAACACCAAGCATTTGGGCTCAGACAGGCCTGGGGTGAAGGACCAGGTATAACCACCTGCATAACAAATATGGCAGGTTTTAATATAGGTCCTATTCCACTGCCCTGTGCTGTGCACGGGTTGATGCAGGACAAGGCCTGCTGAGCTGCTGCCACGTCGTGGCCGTATCCCAGAACTGCACCCGAGAACAGCCCTGCAAGGGACACAAGCAGCTGCCTGGGACCTGTGGGAGGCTGGGCACCACTTCCCCTTGCGAGGCAGTGCCAGAGGGGCAGCAGGGGAAGGCAAGCCAACAGGCAGCAGCCGCTGCAGACAAGAGACAGGACCCACCCTGTGATATCCAGACATGAGTTTTAACAGCTGCACCAACTTCTGGCAGAGCGAACAACCCCATGCCCAGCCAGCCTGAGCCAGGCAGGGCCAGCTGGGATCACTCAGCGGATTTGGGGGGGCTTCAGCAGAGGCTCTCAGGAAGGAAACAGCCACCGGCTTTGTCAGGAGCAAGCACCTGTCCCTTTCCTTTAGCGTCAGGGGGTCGATAGCACCTGCTCCGGCCCAAAAACGACTGCATCCCCCTCCCAATTCCCAGCTGTGAAGCATGTTTAGCTTGGTTATGAATTCAAGGCTGTTTTAGCAAAGAATAAATGGGTCTGAGAGCGAGCCCGACACGTGAGACCCTGCTCCGGTCCTGGGTTCTTCAAACACAGGGCTGGGGAATGCGTTTCCATCCCCAAATGCAGCTCTGGTTGGCCAGGGGAGGGGAGAGCATTGTAGCTGCACCCTACTCATACCTATAAGAGCTGGAAAACCACGAGCCAGTGCTCCCGGGTGGGCTCTCACTTACCCCCAGCAGCTCAGGCCAAGATGCTGCACGGTCATTGAACACAGAAGCCCAGACGCTGTAGCGAGGGACAGCCAGCAGGCACCACGGGACGCTCCAAACCTCTCAATTTAGAAGCGACAGCTCAGTATAAGAAGCAGAACAGCTCCGACATCGGATGCCAGCATTTTCAGAGGCCCTGGGCCAAAAAGACACTTTAGATGCCTAACCAAAGATCCTGGGATGTCACCTTTGCCTTGAGAGAGGATCCAGACCCGAGGTTACAAGATTCATTTTATTCCAAATGTTAAAAGTTCCACATTCTTGCCTCTCTTTTACACCAAGCCACCAAAATATTTCAATTTCCTTTTTTTTTTTTTTTTTATTTAAAAAAAATCCAGCCTAGGTTGAGCTATTGTACAATCTCCGCCCCCCTTTCCCGATATTGCTATAACTTAATGTGTAAAACGTTCATAGAGGGACCCCAGCTCCTGAGCAGGGTACTGGAAAGCAGGCACGTGGGACAGCGGGGCAGGAGATGGGCCGGCCCCCAGGCCGGTTAGATGCATGGGAACAGCAGCCATTGCGACCCAGCGGCCTACAGCAGGGCTGGTAGAGGCGAGTCATCTAATGCCAGGGCAGAAGTGATGGTGGCCATCCATCACAGCCCCCGGGCAGGGGGATAGAAACTAAAAAACTACCAAAAGAAAAACCATCCACCACCAAAAATGGGGAGGGTGGGGGTTTGCAGCCTGTCTGCAAACTTGCTGGGAACAGGGGAAGGACGGATCTAAAAGCAGGTACTTGAGACGGGCAACAGGAAGACAAGCCTCTTCCCAGCCCTCGTCTGTCTGTGGAAGGAAACTGGGAGGATCTCCAGGCACCGATTCCCCCAAGGGCTGCTGTGTTCGGACGCGGGGAGCAGGAGCCGGTTGCTTTTGCCAGTGTCTGGACCCTGGGGTGGTGTTTGCAGAGGAGCTCCAAGCTCCCATGCTGGGACATTTCAGCTCAAGCCGCTGCAAAGCTCTTGCATGAGAGAAGGGATGGGGGAGAAGAGAGAGATCCAGGCTCTCTCCCTTCCCCCAGATCCCCAGCTGCTCTGCACACAGATCTCATGCAGGACCAGGACGCGGGTCAGCATGGGGGATTCCCAGGGGGAGCAGAGAGGAAGGTGAGGGGCACAGGCAGCCTCAACCTCACCTCGAATGAGATGGGCTTGGCCTATTCATGGAAAAAACAACCCTGATCTCTCAAGGCCAGGAGGGGCTCGGGGTGGAGGAGGAGATGGAAGGCCAAACCTGAGACGCCCAAGGCCTCTGAAGCTGCAGGAGCCCCAGCTTTGCTGGCCCAGGGAAACAGTTAAAACAGGGGTGAGGAAGAAGAGAAGACTTGGGGGGCAGGTGCCTGTTTCCAGAGAGAGCAGGGGTCCCTGAAAAGGCTCCCTCCAGCCACGCAGCCCCTGCCCCCGGCCCTGGAGGGAGCCAGGATGCCTCCCCACGCTGCAGCAGGCTGGAGGAGCCCGGACGAGGCAGTCCCCCAAGGCCCAGCCCCAGCCATCCCGCGTTATCGCCGTGCTTGGGCCGGCCCGACCGCATCATCAACTCTGCTCCTTGTCTTTGACCAGCAAGACCGTGTGCTGTCCCCCGCTGGACACTGACAGGACCACGCGGCTCTCCAGCTGCTTGCCGGTCATCTCCACAGGGCTCCACAGGTCCTCGTCCTCCCCTGTGCCCAGCTGGTAGTTTGTGCCCATGCCCCAGGCGAAGGCTCGCCCTGCAGAGAAAGAAACCGGCTGCCCATAAGGCAGGAGAAAGCACAGGGCAGACCAGAGACAGGAGGGGGCGCGTCCCCACACTGAGCCGGGGAAGCAGACTCGAACGCAGACCTGGGCACGGGGTCAGGTCCAACCAGAAGTCACTGTGCACAGAGCAAGGCCGCAGGGGGAAGCGTCCCTTTGCACAGGGCTGAGCTACCGCCAAACACCTGGTTCACCCACTGAAGGATTATTCTGCCCAGGCCTGACCTGATGGAGTTTGGATTGGGATGATCCCGTTTCGGGCAGGGGGTTGGACTAGCCGTGACCTCCGGAGATCCCTTCCAGCCCTGCTGCTCTACAGCTCCATAAAAGGCTGAGCTAGGATGCCCAGGGAGACAGCGAGCATGCAGAGGTCAGCTGTTCTCATCCCAGCCTGGCTGCAATCACTGACCGACCACCCACGTGGTTACCAACTGGGGAAGGGGATGGGGATGGCTGCAGCCCCAGCTCCCAGCACTTGCGGCTGGAACGCAGAACGTCCACCCAAAACCCCTTTCCTGTGCATTTCCGCGCATGGAGACCAGCACAGAACAGGCCACATGGGGCACATCGACGTGGCTTCCCTCCTGGACCCGGGCGCATGCCCCAGGCCATGCATCCCACCCGAGACCAGCAGTGAGGCTAAGAAAGGGACTACGCTTGGGCTCATAGTCTCCAGACAAGGTGGGGAGACCCAGGCTGAAGCACCCTGGATGGGTGGGAAAGCTGGAGCCAGCCCTGGGAGGAGAATTGCAGTCCTGAGAGCCCAGACAGCCTACGCTGGAGGAGAGCACACAGCAGCATCACCTAGTTTTATAGTTTCTAGGGGCAGAAGGGACCTGAGCAGATCATCTAGCCCGACCCCCTGCCATGGCAGGAAGAGCACTGGGGTCAAATGACCCCAGTAAGGTGGTCATCCAACCTCCTCTTAAAAACCCCCAGGGTGGGAGCCTGCACCACCTCACTTGGAAGCTGGTTCCAGACCCTAGCCGCCCTGACCGTGAAGTAGCGCCTCCTGATGTCCAACTTAA